TTGTCTTGGCTTTTGTACAAAACCGGGTCGAGAACAAGTCAGAAATTATTCCTAGGGTCCTGCGTTAGAAAAACATTACAGGGAATTAAAGTAACCGTTTAGACACCCTTCCCCTTTGTTGCTGGTTTTTGAAAGGACTTTTTTGCATCACCTACAAAAAGGAGTGTTAAACTCATGGCGATCAAAACGTGTAGAAGGGAATGGGTCAGGGTCTTGTGTTTTTTGCACTGCGCGCCGCACTGCGCCAGTTTTAAAGAGACGAGAACACCACAAAAAAGTAACTTCAGGGGCGTTGATGCGACCTACTGTAGCGTTTGTACAATGCACACACGAGGGACATCCCGCGTAATACTGTTAAACCCCGCTATTTCAAACTCTCAGGGGAAACGAAAAATAGTTTGAAATAGCCGATTGTAATGAAGGGCTAATCCAAAGGGAAATGGTTTGGGGTTCGAAATAATGGGGAAGTCGAACTAACCGAGTTCGAATTAGCGGGGTCAAACTATACGAGGAAATACCTGGCATTATGAATTGTCTATAAACTATAAATGTGAAATGTCTTTTCCCTTTTCAGGGTTCCATAGGCAGTGTAGGACTCAAGGGATATCGAGGCGATTCAGGAGAAGAAGTAATGGTTATTTAACACAATTTTACCTCTGATTACAGACTGGTGGCACTTTATTTCGAGACATTGTTTTGTTATTCTGCTTGTGTCTTATACAGGGTGAGGCTGGTCAACGAGGATCGATGGGAAATTCGGGACTTCCAGGACCATCGGTAAGAATTAAAAAAACCTTTTCATTCGATGCATTTGTTTCCTTCTCTTCATTGATCGAGAGCCCACCACGTGACTTGCAAATACCTATCCACCGATAATGGTCTGCTCATGCGTATTACCATCTAAACGTGTTTTTCTGCAACTAATGTTCTGCTCATGTGTAATTGTAACCACGCTCTTGGGTGAAAATTGGCAAATTGCTTCCCTGAGCTGTCCGAGAGTGATTTAAATATGAAAACAAATTTGGTGATCAAATGAACTCGGTTACCGCAAAATATCATGATTTGTCAGTGTCTCGCAGATCAGTTATTTGCCTCATCCTTCTGGTTCTGCAAATAATTGATCTGCTCGCCACTGACAAGTCGCGATATTTTGCTCAACCTCGCCCAATAATTTTTAATTATTTCACAATTTCGACAAAACTTAAAACTGCCTTTTTTTGCGTTGCTCTTTTAGGCAAGAGATATGCATATTCCCAGCGAAATTTTCACTATTGTTTTATACCTACTGGGGAAATCAGCTCATATTGTTATTCCGGCTGCAATTTATATTTAATAACGAAACGTTTTTGTATATTTTTAATAATCGGCTTTGTTGTTGTTACATAGGGGCCAGCGGGAAGCGAAGGAGTCGCTGGTAGAGATGGTCGTCCAGGCAGAAAGGTATTAGAATTGTTTTTGACTTTAGCAAAGGATCGAATTTACACTTGAAGAATCCCAAAAGAAACTTGGTGGTCACTAATTAATCGATATTTGTCCGCGGACATCATCTGTTCCGAGAAGCTCTGAGGAACAGCTATTATCCAAGGACAAATATTCTTGCAAATGGAGTCTATTGTGTTTATTATCCTTCAAATATTTCTCGCTACACGCGCAGTTTTGAAATTAGAGAATATCACTCAGATATTCCCCAGTTTTCGCTGGGGCATACTCAGCCACCCGACGCGTTTAGACAAATCGCGCGCTAGCCTATTGAAAGATGTTGTGTCTTTGGTCAACCAAAGCACAATTTCATCTGTGGTTGCTTATACGCTAGGGTGAAGCTGGTGACTTTGGAGATCCTGGAGATAGAGGAGCCACTGGAGCTATGGTATTTACACTTTTCTTGTTCAAGTTGTTTCTTTCTTTGGCCTATATCTTTCAGTTATGATTTTCAGAGTCTTACCTTGGAACATGAGACGACTAAGAGCTCTGTAACACCCCCCCCCCCCCCTCCCGAACACAATGTTTGCTCATTACAGTTTCTGCAAACTATTTGCCATTGGAGACCACTTGATTTTCAGACGGAAAATTTGACAAGTAACTCAAATTATAACATAATCGTTAAACACGTTGCTACGTGTTTCTTTAAAAGTTACCACATTTCGCTTTGATGTCACATTTTGCTTTAATGTCTTACGCATGACACTCTGAGAGTTATAGTGACAGCAGTGTCTTCCTCAGAACAGCCCTGAAAGTTCGAACCCAGTCCTTCCCTTGATATAGTTACTTGATTAATATAAACTAAATGCATTAAAGCATTATATTGGCGGCTAGTTGGGATAAAAAATATTTTCGTATTGTCGCGCAGTGACTGCAAACCGACGACTTCGAATGATTAAACACGGTTACCTGCCTTCGTCTCCTACATAAAACTCACTATTATACTGAGTAAATATAAACTCGTAGAGATGATGTACGTAGTGTGCAGTAAAAGTTATCTACACTGTGCAAATGGCAACAAGTTAGAGATTAGCGGCGATTCATGGCTTTAAGTCCTAAAATTTGACCTATTTCAGTATTGTGTTGTCATGGCAAGTTTTCAAGCAATCAGGCGCGGCAAAAGTAACTAAAAGTGAGACGACATTACCGTAAAATAATGTCGTCTCTCTCACGTAAGCAAAACTGCACTGTATCTATTTTCGTTTGTTCATGCATGCACGTATGCGTTCATGTATTCATTCATTAAGAATAGTTGTTTTTATTTTCAACGTTAGGGTCGGCCAGGTCAACCTGGATCTCCAGGGGAACTGGGATCTGGTGGAATTGCAGTGAGTACAACCCTTCAAAATCTATGAGGAATTTACAAGTTGAAAAGAAAATTAAAACGAATAATAATACGTCCTTCCCTTCTTTATTCAGGGTATAGCTGGACTCACAGGGCCAGCCGGACCTGCAGGGGCTGCTGGGATGCGGGTGAGACGATTCATTCATGGCGGTTTGCTTATACGTTAGTCTTAGATGGAATGATCTCATTGACCTCAATAAAAAGCAAAAAAGGGCCGTTCTGAAAACCACGACTGTGATGACCACACCCTGCTCAAAGAATATTATTACTATTATTGATCTGTTAGTTACTTTGTTTTTTGTTTTCCTTTGTTTGTTTGTTTATATGTTTGTTTGTTTTGTTGTCACAAACAGGGAAGCGTTGGTCTGACTGGATTACCGGGAGCTCTTGGGAATGCTGGAGCGAAGGTCTGAATTGCGTTTCTAATCTACTGCTTTGGTAGTCAATATAATTTAAAGAGTTCTTGGTGCAGAACTGTTCAGATTAATTTAGAGAGGTTTGATGATATCGAGCTTGGGGATTTAAATTTACAAATATTTTAAACCTTATTTTGAGCACTACTCACAGATATTTTACACGTAGGCCAAACGCTGTAAAATCTTAATTTTAGATTAGTAAACCTTCTACGAAGATTTTGTTGTCTGTAAAAGCCGCGCTTTTTTGTTTCGTTAATGTTTGCTCAGGGCGAAGCCGGAGACTACGGTAATGACGGAAAAGACGGAGAACCTGGAAGTGAGGTAAGTCATTGATCTTGACGCTGTTTTTCTCTATTCAATAATTTAACTTGTTCCAAATATGATCATCACCGTTTTATTCCGTTGCTACTTTTCCCTAGGTGGGAAATTGTTTTCTCTGCGTTTGCGTTATTTAATCGTTGTTTACTTAGAATCATTATTATCATTTTTTTTTCGCTTTCTCTCTAAGGGAAACGTTGGAGCGATGGGCTCGCGGGGCGAACCGGGACAACCTGGAGGAGTGGTAGGTTTGGGTTAAAGGATTTCCTTCTCTTTTATATATTTATAACATCCTGATTGATTGATTGATTGACTGACTGACTGACTGACTGATTGATTGATTGATTGATTG